CATTTACACTATCAGATCCTGCTGGTGTTATAGCCTACTATGCATACTTTGGTGATATCACTCAATTATGACAATTTATTTATTTTTTCACTACGAAATTTAACACTTGTTATGAAAAAATTCCCTGTGTAAATAAGTCAATCATTAAATCAAGAACCTGCACTTCAATTTGGTTAATATGTTTATTTCCTAGGATTCTCAGCGCTATCTACTGGCAATAATGCAGTATTTTCTAAGGTCTTTCAGGAAAACAATGATTATGGCCACTAGATGGAGATGACGATCCTAGGAAATAAATGTATTAGGCAAATTACAGTGAAGATTCTTGATGGCTGAGCAAGTGCTTCACACATTAGCACAGCAACTTATTATAAATAAACCCCACAGGTTCCTTTCAGATGAGCAGTGTCTGTTCCGATTAGTGTGAACAGATCTCCTACTGAGCAGAATGGAATGGATGTCATTTTTGTGACATCAGTGTTTGCTCAGTTTTTTTTGCATCTTGTAATGGACAAATGTTAGCTCTATACATAAGTGCATGTAAGTGGATGTGGATCGTTTACATTCTCTTACCTCTGATCAGTCACATTTAGGTCCTAGATGTTTTAGGTCCTAGATGTACTCCACCGTAGGTGGATGTAAACAGATGCACCAGTTACATCTGGCTGCCCATAGACCAGCCATTGACAACTAGGGTTCCTCCAGAAGTTTCAAGGGGTTCCTTGAGTTATGGTTGATTGACCTGACGGTGTCTGTTTGGTTCCAGTGCCAATGCTACTTGACAAAGCCAACAGCATGACCCAATTATCTTTTTAGCAATCTGTAAGGGTTTCATTCTTCCTAGTGACCACCAGTGTAATTACCTCTTATGAATTGGTTTTAAAAAGGCTCCCTGAGTTCTGAAAATTATTTGAAGGGTTCCTCTGCAGTAAAAAGTTTAGAAATGCTGCTATAGACTAACATGGAGCTTCTGTTGAGATCTTCCTGAAATACTGACAGGCGGATATAAATCAGAACACTAATCTTAAAGGTCCCCAACTTTTAGAACCAATAATGCAAAATTATATAATAAAATAAGGTACAGCGCTAAACATACGTACATATTAGATGAACAATATTCCAACTGTGATAGAAACGTGTAAAAACCTAAAAGTGATATATATTAATTAGTCCAAAGTCAAGAATAAAAACAGATTGTAAATTAAAAACAACTGTGCATAATCTTGTGGTGCCAAAAAAAAAGCCCCATGCAGAACCTTTGTGCTCCACCACCATAAGACAACATATTGCACTCACCAACCATCCATACCCTCTTAATTAAAAGAAGTTCTAATGCGCTTTATGTCCCCAAGAGTTTGAAACATCAGTATGTATCTTCTCAATGGTCTCCCAATGTACTTCATAGCCAAGATTTGCAAGAATCAGAAGGAGAAATGTCTCATAGTATAGTAGGTTTATTAAAAAAATAAATAAAATCAACCAAATATGCACTCACATTAGTTGGTACCCAATCCTCGGCACTAATACACTCAGCTCAGGATGCTAGCACCACTCGACAGGGAAGTCGGCGTGCGTTCCACAGACCGGAAGCGGATATGACGTGACTGGACCCGGATGTGGCTGGACACGATTCTGCCTCTACATGTTTCGCCTACCAGGCATCTTCAGGAATCTCTTTCTTAGAATCTTAGGAGCTTGTATTGTCTTTTGGTGGTGGAGCACAAAGGATCTGCATGGAGCAATTTATTTGGCAGCGCAAGATTATGCACCACTGTTTTTCATTGGTGTGAGACTTTTGTTTTTGTTCTTGACTTTGGACTCCTTGATATATACTGTATATATATCACTTTTAGGTTTTTACATGTTTCTATCACAGTTGGAATATTGTTCATCTAATATGTATGTTTAGCACCATACCTTATTTTATTATATGGTCACAAGTGATCTTCCATTTCAAGGGGCAGCTAACATTTTTTGTATTATTTTTGTTGGCACACTAAATGGTTGAGTAATTATTTATATTTTATTGCATAGAAGATATACTGTTTGTGTAAAGCAGTATGTATCACTTTTTTGCATGTAAAAAGAGAAGGCGCTTAGTTTCTTACTAAATTGTTATCGCGTAAAAAATGCAAAATTGTTTGATTTTGGTTAAGATTTTCAATTATAGCATTTAGTAATTTTTTTTTTCTTTTTCACATACATATATGTTTATTTCTCTTCATATTCGTTCACACATTTGCATTTTAAAGTGCATGATAGAATGTGATTTATAAGTATGTGTCATCAAAGGCAATGTTATAGATAAAACCGGTTCACATCTGTGTACTGCGGTGCATTTTTGAAAACAAAAAAGTTGATGGTAGCAAATAAATAACACACATATAATGCATTTTTCATGCATTATCATGAAACACAACCTGGTCACAACATACAATAGTTATTTGTTGGGCAACATAAAAAAGATGTGAAAACAAATGAAAAATACATATCAACAAGAATTTAAAAAGTGTTAAAAAAAAGGCATGAAAATGGAAAGGTGTAAACCTACATGGAGACCAAGCTGTCCAGCAAAGTGACACGGGTTGGGACAAATGATAACACTACCTGGGGTACTTACAAAGATTACCTTTATTCTAATGGTATAAACCTTTCCTTTAAAGTGGAACCTTTGTTCAAGCACCCCTGAGAGTGTAATAGTTTGTCCCAACTGTTGTTATTGTCATTTTTTCTGGACAGCATGGTTTGCATATAAATGTGGAGGCAAACAGAAACAAGACATGTGAAATAAAAATGAATATACTGATTTCAGTACTATCGGTAAATGTATTAACCCAATGCAGATATCTGAATTTTTAGATTTTTGTACTCATTGTAAAAACATTTTCTTGGAGTTTATTGAGGGACGCAGGAAATCTTAGACTCGTGTTATATTGTTATATTGCTGGCATGCTAAGAATTCCCATGTCCCTCAAAAAAAAAAAAAAAAAAATACATTTTTGTACTCACAGTAAAATCCTTTTCTTGGAGTCCATTGAGAAACATGGGAATGTTCAGACTGACTGCAGGGCAACCCAACAGTTTAAGAATCTCTATGTCCACAGTGACTTAGTGGCTGGCACTAATGCCTTTCAGCACTAGGGTAATTGGTTCCAACCAGGATGCTATCTGCATGGAGTTTGCACTTTCTTCCTGTGCTTGTGTGGGTTTCCTCCCACACTCTAAAGACATGCTGGTAGGTTAATTGGCTCCTGATCAAATTGGTACTAGCATGTGAGATAGGGACCTTACACTGTAAGGGCAGGGACTGATGTGAAAATACAATATATGTAAAGCAATGTGGAACTTGTCAGCCCTATATAAATTTCTATAATAAATAAACAAAAATAGGATTTTTGTACTCGCTATAAAAAATCCTTTTCTTGGGATGCTTAGACTGTCACCAGTATAAGCCAACAGTCTGCTAATTCCAGTGTCCTTCAATGGAAGAGAAAGAACCAATAATTTTGTGATAGTGGTCCTTTAAAGCAGTATTAAACCAAAAAAAAGCAAACTTTTATTATACTGCAGCTTACCAATTCTTAGATATGATCACTGCATTAGGGTTTTTAGGGTTTCTTTCATTTTCACTGGATAATCAAGTCAGCAAGTCTGTTATTTTTTCACAGAACCAGCTGTCATGCAGATGTAGCAGTTAGAGGGATGAGACAAATATTTAACACTGACAGGGGTGCTTACAATGGTCAACTTACTTATGTAAAACCTTTATCCCAATGGAACATAACTGTTTGCTGTAACTGCTTATAAAGTATTAGCTGGAGTTTTGCTTTAATTAGTTAGTGTATCTAAATCTGCTAGTACATCTAACACTGCTCCTCCCCCCAAACCTAGAATTTTACTTTCCAAAGGTGTCTCTGTTGCTCCTTCATGCAGGGTGGGGGCACTCTAATACAGGAGGTGTGTTACTGCCCAGATTACCAGGTGAAAAGACGGGGAAAAGAACTAAAGAAAAAGAAAACTAATGCAGCCACCACATCTAATGATTGCTAATCTGAAATAAATGTTTGTGTTTAATAGCGGTTTAAACCAAAAGAGTATTGCATTACATAAAAACTCAATATATCAAACAAATGGTAAATTATACAGTACAATTTGTCAGTTGTTAAAATCAAACACATTCTCAGGGATTAAAGAAAATCTCAAGAATATTCAAACTTTGGAAATCAGGGACAGTATGCTGCTATGTAGTTCCTAATCTTTTGTGACTGCAATGTGACTATAGAGTTGAACTCCCACTGTAATCAATCAGAGCTACAGAAAAGGAAACATGCATTCTTACCTGTGTACAGAATAGGGATTGGTCCTGTACAGGTCATCAGCTGTCAGCCCTGAACCCAGTCCATGCACAGATCATCAGCTGTCAGCCCTGAGCCCAGTCCATGCACAAATCATCAGCTGTCAGCCCTGAGCCCAGTCCATGCACAGATCATCAGCTGTCAGCCCTGAGCCCAGTCCATGCACAGATCATCAGCTGTCAGCCCTGAGCCCAGTCCATGCACAGATCATCAGCTGTCAGCCCTGAGCCCAGTCCATGCACAGATCATCAGCTGTCAGCCCTGAGCCCAGTCCATGCACAGATCATCAGCTGTCAGCCCTGAGCCCAGTCCATGCACACTGCACCTATCACACAGCTCTCTGCTCTCTGCATCATTCAAAGCCCCCGGCTCAAACTTCAGCACATGCAAGCGTTTATCGTCGCCATCTAGTGGCCACACTTAGGTGCTGCAGGACATTAATCAGTCCATAGAAAACAAAGGCAGGGGGTAATCAGGGAGTCTCTAGCTTCAAGCATATTTCAAATAAAGACCAACTCTAGTGTAGAGATATACCCCCACAAACTATTATTTTTTTATTTAAACCACTCGCCATGCTGTTTGACATTTCACATACATCTTAAAATCAGCATTTTCTTTTGCTAGAAAACTATTTAGAGCTGTCCAAACATATACACTATATTGCCAAAAGTATTGGTCGGCCTGTCTTTACAGGCACATGAACTGTAATGGCATCCCAGTCTTAGTCCATAGAGTTCAATACTGAGTTGGCCCCGCCCTTTGCAGCTATAACAGCTTCAACTCTTCTGGGGAGGCTGTCCACAAGGTTTAGGAGTGTCTCTATGGGAATGTTTGACCATTCTTCCAGAAGCACATTTGTGAAGTCAGGCACTAATGTCGGACGAGAAGGCCGGGCTCACAGTCTCAGCTCTTAATTCGTCCCAAAGGTGTTCTATCGGGTTTCTTTATGGACTGGTGCGCAGTCATGTTGGAACAGGAAGGGGCCATCCCCAAACTGTTCCCACAAAGTTGGGAGCATGAAATTGTCCAAAATGTCTTGGTATTCTGACGCCTTAAGAGTTCCCTTCACTGGAACCAAGCCCCCCTGAAAAACAAACTTTACACTTGGCACAATGCAGTCAGACAAGTTCTGCTGGCAACCGCCAAACACAGACACGTCCTTCGGATTGCCAGATAAGGAAGCATGACTGGTCACTCCAGAGAACACGTCTCCACTGCTCTAAAGTCCAACATCCAACACTTTGCATGGCACTTGGTGATGTAAGGCTTGGATGCAGCTGCTCAGCCATGGACACCCATTCCATGAAGCTCTCTACGCACGGTTGTGCTAATCTGAAGGCCACATGACGTTTGGAGGTCTTTAGCTATTGACTCTGCAGACAGTTGGCGACTTCTGCGCTTCAGCATGTGCTGACCCCGCTCTGTCATGTTACATGGCCTACCATTTCATGGCTGAGTTGCTTCCACTTTGTTATAATACCACTAATAGTTGACCGTGGAATATTTAGTAGCAAGGAAATTTCACCAGTGGACTTATTGCACAGATGACAACCTATCACGGTACCACGCTTGAATCCACTGAGCTCCTGAGAGCGACCCATTCTTTCACAAATGTCTGTAGAAGCAGTCTGCATGCCTAGGTGCTTGATTTTATACACCTGTGGCCATGGTGGTGACTGGAACACCTGAATCCAATGATTTAGAGGAGTGTCCCAATACGTTTGGCAATATAGTGTATTTTCTGAAAGCAGAGGCCCCAGGTGGTTGTTGCAATTTTTTTTTTAAGTTGCACGATATTTGTGCACCCCTTTATGCAAATTTGCAGAAAACAACACACTTAAATGCATTTTAGTGCACACAAACACAATATAATACCCACATTTTTGGAAAAGAAAATATAAAATGTGCCAAGTAAATAGATACCAAATATGTCAATATTTAAAACTTTGCACGCCCATGACACGGCAACAAACTTCAATACCTAAAAATCTCCATAGACGTACTTGATAAGCCTTTACAGGTTACCAGTGTAGAGTTCAAAATGAGCTCTGGTGCTAGAATTATTGCTCTCACTCTGATGTTCACGGTGATACCTCACATGTGTAGTGCAATCACTCCGTGCAGGACCTATGAGCGTGTTTGCATTAGCACATAAACATTCAACTTTATTGCTGAACAACATCCCTTGTGATAGCTTTGGCAGTGACAGGTATACTTTATTGAGAAATCTGGGAACTAGAAGACCCCTGATCCCTCCTGACGCCTACAAGGCAGCTGATCAAACCGAGATTGGTTTGATCAGCTGCTTGCCTGGCCGGTACCAACCAGACAAACAGAGAACCAAAATCAGAAGTGACAAAATCCTCATCGCTTCTGGCTTCATTTGTTGCCAAAAAGAGGGAGGAAAGGATGTTCTTCCCCCTCCTCTGTGGGCAGCCAGCCCAACAGCTTGTAGAAGTCCCAGCCCAGAAACAGCGTCAGGAGAGGAGCACCATTCCAAGAATGGTAAAAGTGATCAGTTGGCTGTAGAGCTGCTTGGTTGAGTTTTAATGGAAAGCCTAATGCCAGCTGAAAAATAGGATACCAGGATTATGGCTGCAGCTGCAATCCTGATATGACCACTTTTTTTGGAATATATATACACACACACACACACACACACACTATATTGCCAAAAGTATTGGGCCAGCCCTCCAAATCATTGGATTCAGGTGTTCCAATCACCTCCATGGCCACAGGTGTATAAAATCAAGCCCCTAGGCATGCAGACTGCTTCTACAAACATTGGTGAAAAAAATGAATCGCTCTCAGGAGCTCAGTGAATTCAAGCGTGGTACCGTGATAGGTTGCCACCTGTGCGATAAGTCCATCCCTGAAATTTCCTTACTACTAAATATTCCACGGTCAACTGTTAGTGGTATTATAACAAAGTGGAAGCAACTGGGAACAACAGCAACTCAGACACCATGTGGTAGGCCACGTAAAATGACAGAGCGGGGTCATCACATGCCGAAGCGCACAGTACGCAGAAGTTGCCAACTGTCTGCAGAGTCAATAGCTAAAGACCTCCAAACTTCGTGTGGCCTTTCAGTTTAGCACAACAGTGCATAGAGAGCTTCATGAAATGGATTTCCATGTCTGAGCAGATGCCTTTAATATTTGCATACACAACAGGACCAATATGTATAATGTATTTCCAATCTACTCATTTCCATTGCCAAAAATAAACAGGGGCCTTGTTAACATGAAATTCTACCTGAAGGCAGGAGGTGACCAAGGGAACTGTGGACTGGCAGTAGGAACAGACCTAAGTTCCATGTGTCTCTTGCAAAGTAGGAGCAGCAGCCGGGGAGAGGATTCTGAAACACTGAATCATAGGAATGAGCTCAAGGCTTGTGCAATACTTCATATAGTAGATGACTTTGGCACTTAGTCCCTCAGCGTTAATCCCTTTGCCTTTCAAACTGCCGATAGCAGCAAATGCCAAAGAAATAAGGAGGTAGCTCCCGGTGCGTAGCCTGCTCGACCTACTGACAGAGTGAGCCTTAAGAGACTGGGCAAGTGCTGGGGCAAAGCCATCGATTTGGACTGGAAAGTGCTCCTCAGCTAACTTGTTACCAGAACGGGATATAGAAAGCACCAAACATGGAACAAAGGTCACTGCTCAGAAACATCCAGTCCTGCAGAGTCCAAAAGCTAGGCTGAGGAAAATCCAATCCAGATAGCTGCCATACAGAGACCAGCTCAAGCAGGAATGGAGGGAAGAATTTTGAAGGAAGGAAACATTTTGAAGAATTGAACAACAAAGCTTGCAAAAATTAGGCATTTCACAGCAGAGCTAAAGCTTTAGGCATCATGCACACTTTAAAAAAAAACTCTCCTAGAAGCAGTCCTCTGGAAGCAGCATTTTTGCAGAAAAAAATGCCTGGCACTTGTAAAAGTATCTAACGCTTTTACAAGTGTTTAGGCTCATTTACAAGAGTCAAGCACTTAGGCGTTAATTCATTTCATTGGCCAGAATAATTTATTCTGGCCATTAAAATGAATTAATGCTCCAGCGCTAAATGCAATTAGGGACGTTTAGACGCAGAAGCATTTTTTCTGCCGAAACGCTGCTGCTCCTGGACTGGGTTTTTTTCCTGCTGGTAAACGCTACTGCTACTAAAAGCTTCTGTCTATGTGTGCATGGACACATAGGATAATATGGAGGACCATTTAGAAGCAGTAATAAAAAACAAAAAAAACGCCTGACACCCCTAAAAGTGGCTGCAAAAACACCCTGAAGCCAAAAGGAGACGTTTATCCTCCTAGAACCATAGGGGAAAAAAAAAAAGAAGCATGCTGGGTGGAGAGGTGATCCTAGGCACAACCTAAAGATTTTGCTTTCCAGTGTTTAAAGTGGTTCTAAAGGCTGAAGGTAAAATAAACTTCTGTATCCAGCTCCCCTCTTATACTTACCTGAGCCCCATCGCGATCTAGTGCTGAGCATGAGAGCAGTGGATCTCTCTGCTCTGTCCTTCCTCAAAGCAGCGGGAGCCATTGGCTGTCAATCAAACTCTGATGAGGGAGTGGGGGGGCGGGGCCATGCCTGTAGGAGGCATTATAGCCTGACAGTGTATGATTTCTGGGATCCCTCATTGGACAAGAAAGTAAAGCAAACCAATTCCACATGACCAAACTAGATATTTTGTAAATGATAAAATCTGTTCTGAAATAACCAATAGACTGGTTCTCCCTAAAAGTAAAATGGTCATGTAGGCTGCCATTAGTGACTTTCCTATCTGAAAATGATAGGTATCCGACTGTCACGCTGGCCCTTTCCTTAAATCACTAACTCAGTACATGTATACAGATTAAGGTCATTGCCTCTACTGCACCTTTCCTGTTGCAGGCTAGTGCCTTGAAAAGTATTAAAGCCAGAGGGTGGAATACCTGGCAGGTAACCAGCCTTTTCAGCAATGGCAGCCATCATTTTTCTGACATGACAGATTTATTTTAAAATGGAACAAATTTTTTTTTTTTTTTTTAGACATCTCTATTGGACAGGGATCATTCAAACATTGAAAAACTGTATTTTAGATGATAATCCAGAATTACCCTAAACAATGCGTTCTCCAACTACAAAATGTACCAAAGAAGCCCTTGCTAGATCCCTATTTCAAGCTTGGGGAGTTATTATAGTTCAGTGGAAACCAGTTGAGCCGTCCACACACAAGGAATGGATAGATTATATGGAAGACACTCTCCCAATGGAAAAGTATATTTATCAGCATAAGTGTTGCCCTTATAATTTTGAAAAAAGAAAAAAAAAAAAATATGGGGTTCATGGCTTGATACACCAGGTCTTCGTCCATTAGAGCCAACAACAAACAGGCTTCTCTAACTTGCCTGGCACAGCTGTGCCTAATTGCCTCAGCTATTTTTCTGTGTAGCTTGTAATGCCTTCCGCAGGGAATTGCTATTGCCTGGTGCCTGTTATTGTAACTCGCATCTGTTCCACGGAGAGGTTTGTATTCCTTGACTTTGTGTATTATCTTGGCAGTGACTTTATATGCCTGATGCTTGCTCTAGAACTGTAATTTTCTCGTTCCTAACACATTTTTGTGCATTTCTTATTTAAAAAAAAATAATTTTTTTTTTAAAATTGTTAGGAGTTTTATAAAGAGAAAAGATACTGTCTCTTCTGGCTTATGGGCTCCTTTCCTGCAAGCATTGTTCCTTCAATTGTACACCGAGCCACACGTGAATATCATCGTACAATCTCAGCACACTGTGGGTGCCAGGACAAAGTAACCCCAACATGCCAATGTGTTACCTTATTCCTGGCTGGATAATCAAGATGGCCTAGGACTCTGGATCCAGATGTCAGCAGCGATGGGAGTGAGGCTGGAGTTTGTGAGCTTTGGGCCGCTATAAGACACTTTGAGGCATGTGTGCCATAACATGCAAATATAATGTGCATACTTGTGCATAATGGCAAGAGCCCTGGGGTCCATATCAAGTTCTACAGTAAGATTATATTCAGAATGAGGTCCACACAAATTGGGGTCTTTCATAACATCTGAAAGCCATTGATTTCCTGTGTCTATAAATGCTGCATGTCATATTCTACAGGACTAGGAAAAAGAAAAAAAAAATTGAGTGCCACCATGTAGTCGATAGTGCAGATCATATACCAAAAAACAGAAGGCAGCGCTTTTCAAATATATCTCTGAATGGGTTAACTAGATAAATGATATCAAACAAACAAATAAATAAGAAGATATCAAACAAAATCAATGTGAAAAATAACTGAACAAATAAAATTGTGTCCAACAAAAAGTCCATTCGAATAATAAAGTTCATAAAGTAATATTAGTGAAACAAAAAGTCTTCTTTGATCTTTGTATTAATGAGGAGAGAAAAAACCACCGTGAAAAGCCATCACCAAATTAATTGAATCCACTCACCAGAGCTCCATGCTGGCAAAATTATAAACCAGCTGTAACCGCTCAAGTTATGAGTGCAACGATCTGCAGAAGCATACCACAGCTGATCGAAACTCCTTCAAATAACAATTGGCTCCTCATATACTCAGAATGTGACATAAAGTAAAAAGAAAGGAATCCACACAGTGTAAAACCATCCAGGCTTTTATTCAATACAAAACATAGGCAATCACAGGTTTGCTCCGATCAATGGCAGCTCACCCATACGTGGGGACGTCCCCTCCAAGGCCCCGTCTTACGCGTTTTCGCCATCCGACGTCCTCCAGTACTTGATAGTGCAGATCAAGTTCATAAGGCACAAAATTTAAAAAATTGCCAATGGTTTTCAAAGGTTCTTTTCTATATATGATCTCCAATACGTAAATTTGAGACTCTCTCTTGTATATAGTTCTTTTGTTAAACATTTCAGCTTGCCCTTGAAAATGTTATTATACATGACAACAACTGCACTGTATTCACTATGTATGTAGAAGTAGATTTTTTTGAACCCTAGATATGCATAGGCAATATTTTAAAGCTATACAACTAAACCTTGATCGGGACCGTCAAAAAAAAAAAAAAAAAAAAACCCACACACTTGGGGTGCGATCATCTTTATTCTATATGCCTTATTTTTTTACCAAGTGGATCTCATTTAGGATCATAGCATAGCTCAAGAGAGTGAAGCACCCCATGACCTTGTTCCATTATCATATGACAGTATCCCAATGACAGAATATAAATGAAGATATTGGACAACTTTTATTCACTTTTAATTTTGTAGAGTTGATTGCACTTAAAAAAAAAAACCAAAACAAAAAAAACCCCAAAAAAACACAAAAAACAAACAGTCTTAAAGGTATTTACAAAAACAAAATAAACTAAAAATACAAAAAGAGGGGAAAAAAATGGAAACAAAATATTGCTGAATTACAGTAAGACAAATAAATAGCTGCAGTAACAAAGTCCACATCTTTTTCATTTTTGAATATTTCCAAGTAAATGTTAAAAGGGAACCTGTTTTGGACAAGCGATAATCCTCCCAAGAAAGTGGCTATTCTCCGACTACTGCGCTTCATACTAGCTCTAGCCAATTGTGACCATTTACTAAACCTGAATGAGAAGGCAGCCTAGAAAACAAAAGCAGCTTCCATGCAAGGCTTCTCAGATGGGTATTTTACTTTGTGACAAATTCTTTTCAAGATTTCTCTGGAGGGAGAAGAGGGTGGTCTACGCAAAAACTCCCAATCAGTGCTTCATTCTTTAAAGTCGAGAAACTGCTGCAGCTTCTTTCGGTGTTCTGCAGATGCTGGAATGGCACTACAGCAGGGGAAAAATGTCCATGTATTAATTTAATTGAAAAAAAAACAAAACAAAAAAACAAAAACACACTCTATGAACACATCCTAATAACGGTAACAAAAATTGATCACCACATAAATGTTTTCACCAACTTTAACAAATGGGGGTTTGAAGCGATTATGTACGGGTACAAACAACAACAAACATACACATATGTGGTATCGTTGCGATCATCAAGAGCAGGATAAATTATTTTGGGTGTTCTTTGGTGGTTGGTTATGGTAGTAGCAAGAAATATACAACTAATTTAAGAAAAAAAGAAAAAGGTTTTTTTTTTTACCATCTTGGGTTAGTTTTCCTTTGATAATTAAAAAAAAAAAAAAAAAAAAGCAGAAGAAGATTTAGGAGACATCCTTTACCATTTACCACCAAATGGAAGCCCAGTTTGTCCCCAAAAAAACAGGGTATAATCCACCTGGATGCACAAAGTAGTTGTGATGATATGTACAGTTTTGCTAACACATGTCAAAGTTGCACAATTGTTCGGCTTTAAAATCTGTTTTACCCTTAGGCATGAAGGGGTTAAGTAATGACAACATTATTGCTGAATAAATAGGTCTATGGTGGAAATGTAAAAACTCCATAAAGGGGTGAAAAAGGTACAATAGCTGGAATGAATACATACTGTAAGTGTTCTCCAAACGTTGTGGTTATCCTATAGATTGCAGTCTTTAGAGTAGATCGCAGGGCAAATCGTAGTGTCTTATAGGAGGAATCTACCAAACCTGGTGCAGCTCTTGCAGGCTTGCTGGATACATGTGGGAGCTTAAAATGCTTCTCTACTGCCTGCAACAAGTTAAATTAAATCACATCCACAGTAAATAAAGTTAAGCTTCAGCCAAGCAGCTAATTACTTAATGCACAAAAATGTGATCCGTCTTACTTGCCAAAATATTTTTTTTTAGTTGTACAACCAATATGAAAATCTAACCCACAGTCAAATCCTGCAAACCCTTCCTCCCAAAGAGCTGCTTGTATTTAAAGTAGTATGAAACCCAAAAAAAAAAAACCCTTGGTCTGCTTGGAGTGGAGAGCACTGACGTTCTGTCAATGCTCTCTGCTCTTTCCCTCCAACGCTCACTGGATCACTGGACTGTGCTGAGAGCCGGAGCCAGCTGTCAAACAGGCAGCTGGGTGGATCCACCAGCATCGGGATCCTTCCAGAGCCTAGAGCGGCTGTGTGACGTCAGCTGATAGTATGCTTTAGTCCTCTGTTAGCTGATTCTGGGTCACAGCAGAGCAAAAGTAAGTGCACTCCTGTGAATCAGAAGTGAAATAAAATGGAGAAATAGAGGCTGGCCTCACAACCACCCTATGCATGTAACTGAATGTGCAGCACAACAATTATAGCACCACCTCTCTACTCTCTCCTTCCCCCACAGTAAGATGGCCACTAATTCACAATGCAAGGTCTAAAAGGCGAAGAGCGATGCCCTTTCTTCTCTCAGTCTGCTGTATAGGAGATTTAAAAGAGACCGATCACAAGAGAGATTCAGGAACATTTGAAAGCTCTATGTAACAATACATGAAGACCTTGTACATGCAGGCTTCAAATTTGTTAAATAGCAATGTGTACAAACATATAGTCAGAATGCTCAATAAGATCTGTGCTCAGCATCCCAAAATTGTAGCAAAATATTGCTTTAAATGCATCCAATAAAATGCTGCAAGCTTGCTGAAAGCTTAGAAAATGCTTTGCAAAATCTTGCAGTATACTGCACTTAGACAGGGTGAAACCAATGAGTGTGAGGCAGTTAATGGATGTCCTTTTAGCTTCAACACCGGAGCCAAGGCATGTCCCCTGTGCCGCTTACCTCTTGTAGATTCAGAAGTGTAGTTAGTATGTTGGACAATGTTGTCTGCACCACTCCCATCCGATCTTCACAGAATGAGGCTGCCACCAGATGAGACAACCCTGAAAAGGCATTCCCGGAGTTTAGAATCCAGTCATCGCCAGGCAAAAAGTAAAAGCAACTGCGACACTATCAAGGAAACCCTTCCCCCGCTGCTGAACAAGCCAGTTAATTAACCGTGAGCATTATAATGTGCACTATGCCCTTAAAACTAAAGTACTGTAACTAACTAAAAGTGTATGTTAAAAGGGGCCCCCGAAACGGTTAGGGCTAGAACAGCCATTCACACACAGCAGAGAGCAGGTGGAGCTTTATTCTCAAACTGTAGTGTTTTCTTTTTTCTGCATCCAAAAGGCAGAAAAGTAGGTTATATGGTCATCAATGTCATAGTTCACATCCGTGCCTGAAGTTCCAGTGTGTTCCGGTTGCAGAACAAAAAAAAGAAAAAAAAGTGGAACACGCTGCATTTTTTCAAACACAGAACTGTATTGGAACATGGTAAAACGCATCAAAAGCTCACTGGAACACACCAAAAACACACTGTCCCTATTTAAATTGAAGAGAGGGGAAACCATAAACAAAAATTAAAAAAATGCACCAGAATGCATCAAAAACGCGCATGTGGAACATATCTGGACTGCGTTTTTATGGTAAGAACCGGCCCTTAAAGTGTTTTAGTAAACAGAATAAAGCAATGCTTTCCCTTTATCTTCTTTTGATTTCATGTATAATCCATATAGAGAAATGATGGCTTTTGAGATTTGGAGATTCACGAGCAAGTATGACCCATATATCTTAAGGATCTTGGTTTTTGGTTCACTCCCTAAGAATTGGGAAAGAATTCACACAAAGATTGATTGAAGGTGGCACACTGAAGTTGAAGGCTGCACCTTTGATGTAACTGAAGATTGCACTGGAGAATTGCACATAGCACTGCATTGATTGTGTTGGGGTATGCACAGCTTCCATTAGAGGAATAAGGAATTTTGCAGAGAGATTTTTTTCGTATTTTGCACAGAATTTAATGTATTTGCACATTATTATAGGTTATATGAATTGGTGCATGCACAGTTTCTGGCAGTTTTGCATCTGGGACTTTTCCACAAAAGATTTCCTTTATTTTGCACAGAATTGCTTGTAATTGCACATTATTATATGTATGTACATAAAAAAGTTAATGTTTTAAGAAGTCTTAGGAGCATAGACAAGTATAGCGCTTTACTTTAAAAGGGATATTGCGCACGGGTAAATAATTAGCGCTGTATTATTTTTATAAATTTTGCACTCTAAATATCAGAGGATATTTAGTGATACAGCAGCTGAGGTTTGTTATTACAAAGGTGTGGCATGGACATAATACATATACATGATCTAAAGAGGACATTAAAAAAGGTAGAGATCAACTTTAACATATTCCAATCCTGAAGTCTGCATGTTACATATTATACAAACTGTGTAATAAAAAGTCTGCAGCATATTATTCCTTTCCTGCGATTGTGTGAAAATTTATCACAATCAACGGAACATAAACCCAGCAATTACAGGAGAGATGCGCACTAATCTCTGGCTGAAATGATACGAGTAGCCCTGGCACAAAGGCGAACAGAATATTGTGTGTGGGGGGGGGGGGGGGGCCTACATAGTCAGAGGCCAACTTTTGCACAAAAGTATAAGACATCAGTACAAAAAAAAAAAAACAACACCACAACGAGGCAAAAGTTATATGTACCTGCAATATCTACTAATCCTTTAACCACTTGCCCCCAGAGGATTTACCCACCTTCCTGACCAATTTTCTGCATTATGGTGCTGCATTACTTTGACAATTGCGTGGTCATGCAATGCCGCACCCATGAATTGAGCTTTCTTTTGGTGGTATTTGATGGCCTGTGCGGTTTTTATTTTTTGTGCTATAAGCAAAAAAAGACTGACAATTTTGAGAAAAAAAAATTAATTTTGGACTTTTTGCTATTAAACATGTCCAGTAAAAAAAAAAAAAAAAATCAAATTTAAATCATAAAATTAGGGCAAAATGTATTCTGCTACACGGCTTTGCTAAAAAAAAAAAAAAAATCCTAATACCGGTACATATAAAATTGGTTTACGTAAAAGTTATAGCGTTTACAAATGGCGGTATAGATACTGGGATTTATTTTTTTTTTCCTACCAGTAATGGCAATCAGCGACTTTTAGTGGGATTGCGTCGGGCATTCTGACACTGGGGGGGAGGGAACTAACTTGGTGTCACTGACATCCCCAGTGAAACCAATACAGTGATCAGTGCTAAAAAAGAGCACTGACACTGTACTAATGACACTGGGTAGGAAGGAGTTAATGTGAGGGGCGATCAAAGGGTTAAATGAGTGAAGGGAGTGTTTTACTAGGGGGCTGGGGGGTGCTTCATTGCTTCATTGTAAGTACACTTATCGGGATGACTGTGCTTTGCACAGCCATCCCAAGCAGTGTGCCCGAGGTGACAGGGAGGAAGAGTGTAAACAAAAACAGTCTTCTTCCCAGTCTGTGATTGTCAGTAATCAAAGGGCAGTGGTGTGAACCTCCTGCGCTCCCAAGTGTTTAAACTAAATAAAAATATATATAGATCCCAGGGGAAGCTGCTAACATTAAATCATATACCAGTGATTGTGATAAATAAATAGAATAAAGAATGTAGCGCTACACCCAAAATATATATGCACATGGAAAATTAATATATATAAAAAAAATGTGAAATCACAAAATCTCATAAAAAATATATATATAAATGTGACAGTGATATCAATTAATATTAATTAGTGCCCATAAATCATAAAATCAACACAATAAAATAAATAGCTCAAAACATGTGAAAAAACATTTCCATATATATATGTATAAACCACGCATACACATATATATAATTATAATCACACGTGCCTCTTGTGAAGTGAAATAACCATTAAAATGGTACAAACAACAGTGCTCTCAAAGTCCAATAAATATTGCTGGTGACCAAAGAGAAAACAGTGCTTCCAAATACTACTGTTAGTGACCATAGGTAAAAATCGTGCAGATCTCGGAGTGCATATAAATCTGAGAATCCGACCACCATCTGGATAAGCCTCTCACCTCATCCCTTCGACCCTTGCGGATCAAAGAGCAGTTGTGGATCCCCCTCACGGATCCTCCAAGAAAAACTATCACTCCAAAGGTTGTTCTCTCAGAAATAAGTATTCCCACTCTGGCTCTTCTCCAGGAAAGTATTGCAGCATCAATCTCCCAAATGAGACAAAATGGATCCTCCCATAGTGCAGTATGTTTTATTTACAACATAGGGACAGATGACATTAAGCATTTGCACTTACGTAGCAGCAGCAGTCCAAAACCTCATGCTTTCGGATGAGGATACTTATTTCTGAGAGAACAACCTTTGGAGTGATAGTTTTTCTTGGAGGATCCGTGAGGGGGATCCACAACTGCTCTTTGATCCGCAAGGGTCGAAGGGATGAGGTGAGAGGCTTATCCAGATGGTGGTCGGATTCTCAGATTTATATGCACTCAGAGATCTGCACGAGTTTTACCTATGGTCACTAACAGTAGTTATTGGAAGCACTGTTTTCTCTTTGGTCACCAGCAATATTTATTGGACTTTGAGAGCACTGTTGTTTGTACCATTTTAATGGTTATTTCACTTCACAAGAGGCACGTGTGATTAGCTAATTATATATATGTGTATTTGATGCGTGGTTTATACATATATATATGGAAATGTTTTTTCACATGTTTTGAGCTATTTATTTTATTGTGTTGATTTTATGATTTATGGGCACTAATTAATATTAATTGATATCACGGTAACATTTATATATATATTTTTTATGAGATTTTGTGATTTCACATTTTTTATATATATAAATTTTCCATGTGCATATATATTTTGGGTGTAGCGCTACATTCTTTATTATATTTAGTAATCAAAAAGGGTGCCGGCAGGTAATCCCTGGCCGGGACCTGGTGACTGGCATCTGTGGCCGCGAATGGCAGTGTGGGTAGGGCGCGTGCACCCCCTACCCAGGCAAAGCTTGGATATACAAGAAATAAATAAGAACTCCCGGAACTCTTGAGTTTACTGATCACTTTGATTTTTTTTTTTTTCTATTACTTAAAACAACCTCCGTGCATGCATTCTCCATTATATGTTCAGTTTGAAATGCTCATAGACAGAATTTGTCAGCTCAACCGATCTGCTCCTAAGCCATTGTCCTATTCAGAGGATTCCTTAGGTGTATTTCTAACTATGTAGAAATGTGACATGCAAAAGGTAGGGAAATAATTTCTTTGTAAAATATTATTAGGCATTGAGGCCAGTGTACAGCTCATTCTAGAATTAATGCATAGCTTGGAAATTCTATTTTGCACAGGACCTGAACTGCTTTGCTAGAGGTTTTCTCAAATCTCACCTTCCAAAGCCCAGATATGGATCTGTGAATCCGCAAACACTTCCTGACTGGAGGCCTCTGGGTGCTGCAGAGACAAATAAAATGATGAATAATGAACAACATTTTTTTGATATAGAACACAGAGATGCAATAAAAGTACCACCACATACACACCTATAAAAAACCTACACAGCACACATAGCTCCCCTCAGAGAATAAAGCAGGCTAAAGATTATGCGATTTTTGGGTTGCAGGAAAAAGGTTGAAAAGTGATTATTGGTAAATAAAAATTGTGTAGTGAGGTGCTGCTAAATAAAATCTAAATAAGAGCCTACAGCAATACGATATACAAAACACCCCTTGAAGTTTTCCACATTTTGTTACAACCAAAAACGTAATTGTATTTTATTGGGAGTTTATGATAGACCAACACAAAGTGGCACATAATTGTGAAGTGGAAGGAAAATAATAAATGGTTTTCAAAATTTTTTACAAATAAATATCTGAAAAGTGTGGCGAAAATTCGTATTCAGCCACCTTTACTCTGATACCCCTAACTAAAATCTAGTGGAAACAATTGCCTTCAGAAGTCACCTAATTAGTAAATAGAGTCCACCTGTGTGCCATTTAATCTCAGTATAAATACAGCTGTTCTGTGAAGCCCTTGGGAGGTTTGTTAGAGAACATTAGTGAACAAATAGCATCATGAAGGCCAAGGAACACACCAGACAGGTAAGGGATAAAGTAGTGGAGAAGTTTAAAGCAGGGTTAGGTTATAAAAAATATCCCAAGCTTTGAACATCTCATGGAGCACTGTTCAATCCATCATCCAAAAATGGAAAGAGTATGACACAACTGCAAACCTACCAAGACATGGCCATCCACCTAAACTGACAGGCCGAGCAAGGAGAGCATTATTAAGAGAAGCAGCCAAGAGGCCCATGGTAACTCTGGAGGAGCTGTAGAGATCCACAGCTCAGGCAGGAGAATGTGTCCTCAGGACAACTATTAGACGTGCACTCCACAAATCTGGCCTTTATGGAAGAGTGGCAAGAAGAAGGCCATTGGTGAAAGAAAGTCATAAGAAGTCTCATATATAGTTTGCGAGAAGCCATGTGGGGGACACAGCAAATACGTGGAAGAAAGTGCTCTGGTCAGATGAGAGCAAAACTGAACTTTTTGGCCTAAAAGTAAAACGCTATGTGTGGCGGAAAACTAACACTGCACATCACCCTGAATACACCATCCCCACTGTGAAACATGGTGGTGGCAGCATCATGTAATGTGGATGCTTTTCTTCAGCAGGGACAGGGAAGCTGGTCAGAGTTGAAGAGAAGATGGATGGAGCCAAATACAGGGAAATCTTAGAAGAAAACCGGTTTGCAAAAGACTTGAGACTGGGGCGGAGGTTCACCTTCCAGCAGGACAATGACCCGAAACATACAGCCAGAGCTACAATGGAATGTTTTAGATCAAAGCATATTCATGTGCTGGATTTAGGTCTGAACCATTCTAATTGAGAATCTTTGGCAAAACTTGAAAATTGCTGTTCAAACGTTCTCTATCCAATCTGAAAGAGCTTGAGCTATTTTGCAAAGATGAATGGACAAAAATGTCACTTTTTAGATGTGCAAAGCTGATAGAGACATCCCCAAAAAGACTTGAAGCTGTAATTGCAGTGAAAGGTGGTTCTACAAAGTATTGACTCCGGGGGACTGAATACAAATGCACGCCACACTTTTCACATATTTATTTGTAAACATTTTTGAAAACCATTTATCATTTGCCTTCCACTTCACAATTATGTGCCACTTTGTGTTGGTCTATCACATAAAATCCCAATAAAATACAATTTACGTTTTTTGGTTCTAACATGACAAAATTTCAAGAGGTATGAATACTTTTTCAAGGCACTGTATCAAATAGTGTATAATAAACACATTAAATGAAAATAGCCAGACCTGTAATGATTCACCTAAATAATGTGAAAAATAATCAGCAAACATCTGTCTGACCATCAAACCCAAATGCAAAAAAATACCTTCCCCAGCAAAGAATAA